TTCATGAGACTGGAAGTGAAAGCTGCCTTCCTGACAAATTCAGCTTTTTCCTTTAACTCTTTCTCCCCGCCCTGACCTACTGACCTGTGCCAGTAGGGTGGACATCAGCTGGTGCTTCAGTGTCCATTCCTTGGTCCCGTGGCCTTTCCCACTGGGTACTGAGGGTTTCCAGGTGGGTTTCTTCCTGCCGGGGACTGGAGTGGATAAACTGGCGCAGCTTCTGGATAGTTTCAGGGCCTCCAGCTCCCCACGTCTGTAAACCCATCTTTAACCTGAATCTCCCATTGGGTTTTCTGGCTCTGCAGCCAAAATTGGTGCTGTCTAATAGCACTAGTTCTGCCTGTTCTGATGGCTCCCACTTGCTCCCAGCCAAAGGGACTGATCCAAACTGCCCACAGAAAACCTTCAGCTGAAGGGGCCTCAGAAAACATTTGTCCCAAGCTCTGTAATAGATGGGGCAATCGAAGACTAGGCTTACATGGCAGTGAATGGCAGCGCTGATGCTGGAATCAGACTTCCCATCAGCAATTCTGATAGCTACCTCACAGCAAATAGCCATGTCCTTTTTCTGTTTCCTTCCCTTTCTCTTCCTCTCCTTTGCTAGGAAATCATTTCATTCTTTTCCCTAAAGATGTTCATTCTGTGTTGAATAGGATTATTGATGTACCCAGTGCTCCCATGATGGCACTCAGAGATAAGTACACTGTATTGGCATGGATGTCTGCAACCTTTTCCCTTTCCTGTTTCCTGTCCCCACAGGTCTGTAGCCAGGGACACTCTCCTCCCTCCCTCCTTCCCTGAACCATCCTTTTCAGCTCCCGTTTCTCCCTCCAGACACAGGAGGCGGGGAGGGGGCACAGAAACCCTTAGGGAATTGTTCCTTTCTCACCTTAGTTTCCTGATCTCTAAACTGGAGCAAGAGTCTCAGCCTCCTGAGTATGGCCTTTTGTGGTGTGTGTGTGTGTGTGTGTGTGTGTGTGTGTTTATACACGTGTCTCACTCATCTCCCAGCAGCTCCTGGAGGGTACAGAGGACAATTAATAAGCATCTGATGGAAGGTGTCCTGGGATCATAGCAAGTGCTCTTAGAGTGGTCAGGAGGATTGGTTGAGAGGTCCCCAGAGGTTCTGGGGTGGATAGCCCCAGCTCCACTCCGGGGCTCCACTCTGGTAAAGGTAAAGTTGGTGAGATACCTGGAAAGGCTGGGAGGAGGGAGTGTTCTGAGTGAAGGGTCTTTGTCTTTACAGGGATATGCATGCTAGTTGCTAAGGAACTGAATGTCTTTCCTGATCCAAGCTTCCCAGTGTTTCGCTTAGCTTGGGAGGGGGATGCTAGGCTGGGCTTGAGGCTCGCATGGCAGTTAGTCCTTTCCCTAGGGCTGTGGAGGCTCTGATGGGTCTCACAGGAAGGATTCTCACCTGGGAGCCATAGTTCTTGACCCTAAGCCTCACCATTTGCTCCCGTCAAGCTGGCGAGAACAGGTGAGGAGCAGGCAGGGAAGGAGGAGAATTCATGCATTTACTGAACAGTCTGTACACCAGGCATTGTGCTCAGCAACTGCCATGCTGTCTCATTGTAACCATCTTAAGAGGTAGGCATTTGCTTCCATTTTTTCATTATAGTTTTGCACTTGAAACATAGCTCTGAAACAGTTAAGTAAGTTGCTCAGGGTCACTGTGCTGTCAAGTAGTAGAAATTCTATATGAATTTAAGACTGATAAGAAATATTGTGCTTTTACAAGTATTCAATGTAATGTACATATGAAGCTTTCTTCTTATTCCATGACTATCACCACCATCACCATCATCACCATCACCACCACCACTGTCAACACCGTCACCACCACCACCATCACCATCACCACTGTCACTACCATCATCATCATCACCATCATCACCATCACTAACACTACCATCATCCCACTATCACCACAATGTCATCACCATCACTATCATCACTATTCCACCATCACCATTACTACCATCACCAGCATCAGTGTCCACATCATCACCATCACCACTATCGCCATCAGATTCATCACCCATCATCATCAGCACCATTACCATAGTCACCATCAGAATCATGATCGCCTAGTGATCCACTGAGTCTATCTAGGGGGCTTTATCTCCTTTTCCACCTTCTCTTTCTAGGAAAGAGAGGGGGATAGGGGCTGGTGGGTAGAGGCTGGTGAACAGTCAGGGTGGTGACCGTCGGCAGGCAGGGGTGGTGATATCATGGGCTGGGCAAGTCTGTTGCCTTGTATATTCAGAAATACAGCTCTCCCCACAATCTGACCTGGCCTAAGATGGCTAAAGCTTTAAGCTGTTGCAGCCTTTCTCTTTGGAGCATTCCAGCTCTAAAAAGGATAAGTTTTTAGTTTATATACCAGAGAGTAACAAGAAAGCTCTATTTACCTCAAAATACTATGGTAAGAGGGCCTAATGCCAGATTCCATTACTGCTATTTGTGGAACAGGGAGTAGGTCCCTTCACATAAGGGAGTCTGGTTCCTCATCTAGAAAACTAAGAACAGGGCTACCTGCATTATTGGGCTCTTGGGATGACTGAATGAGAAAATATGTTGAAGGTCCAGGTAGGCCGTGAAGAGGGGTGAGGAGTGCATTAAATGAGACACTACATGCAACGCCTGGTACACAGAAGGTGCTTGGTAAGTGGTGTCTGACAGTGATGATGACAATGTCAGCCCTCTCAACCCTGCAAAGGGATCACCGTTGCTCCCTTGCATCTTTCTTGTCTGTTTCATTAGAGGCCTTGAGCAATTTGCATGTGCATCTTGTTTCCACTTGGAGGGAGCAGTGGAAAGAAAAGGAGAGGCTCAAACAGCCTGAGGCAAAAAGCTTCCTCAATGGTGGTTGCCATCCACCGCGGCCTCCAGGTTTCCCCTGTCTGCCCCAGGCCCCTCCTCTGTGGTTTCCAGGGACAGCCTGGTAGAGCTGGCTTCAGCCTAGAATCTGGGCCAGCTGTGTTCTTTTTTCACATTTTGGGGCCAGGAGGGTAGAGGGGTGTCTCTCCTGCCACTGAACCCAAATCTCAGAACACCAGGGCAAAGCAAGGAGGGGGAGAAAGAAAGCAAGCAAGCCGATAATTTCCTCGAAGGATAAACATCCGACTTTTTTCCCTTACCCAAAATAAACAGGCTAGCCACAAGGAATTAAAAGCAGAAGAGGGGAGGATGTGTCTCAATTTGGGGCTGCTTTAGCAAGCTGACCTTCTATTTATCCTGGCCCTGGGCACCAACCGGAGCTGCCAATTATACACTGTGCCTAGTGGGGTGATGGGTACAGGAGAAGGTCCCAAGGCATATGGAACCCAGAGAGTCCCTTCTGAGGCTGCCTTCCATGACACTGCAAATCCTTTTGCTCCTTATGTTGGCTCTGTTTTCAGGCTTGCCTGGTGGGGGAATGGGGAAGGTTTGTTTTGTCCTGGGCTGGTACTAGATGCTGTTCTAAAGCATAGGACTTTGCTATCTGCTGCCCACCCCCTGGGCATGGAGGAGAGTATCAACAGGAGAGGCACCATCCTCTGTGGTCACAAACTCAGTCTGCCACCCTGCTATCTTTTACAGATGTCATCTCAGGAACTGTGCAAGTAGTTGAAAGCATGCTCCCTGGCTGACCTGGGCCCCCTGCCTTGCAGCTAACCTGGTGCATGCCTCTAAGAAGACAGTAACCCGCGCCCAGCTCAGTCTGCTTCTTTCATCTGGTGAACTCAAAAGCACTTTGCATGCATGAGTCACCAAGGTTGCTGCACCGTGGCCAAGGAGGGGGCCTTATTAACTCTTGGAGGGAAACTGAGCTGAAGGCCTGTTGGAGGAGTGAGTGGGCCACAGTTTAGGCCATGCAGGAGGTCAGCAGAGGGGTCTGCAGAGGGTCCTTGGGCGGGAGCATCAAGAGGCCTACAGTTCAGTCCAAAGCATGCAAAAGCTGGAGTGCTTTCCTTGTAGACAACAAGGAGTTTCCTCACAGTTTTCCAAAAGCACACATCTGATGGTGCCACCTGTCACCCTCCAATCTGTTTATCATCCAGTGATGTCTCAGTGTTTGCAGGGTACAATCCAAGATATTAGCAGGGCCACAGGACCTGGCCTTGGCCCATCTATGAGCCCTTCTCTTCCTTGTCTATTTCATTTCATTTCAGCATTTCATGGTTGGCCCTTTATTTCCTGGAAGATGCCACGTGTGCCCCTGTCAGCTGCAGCAGCTTGGGGAGCTTAGGGATGTTCCCTGTCCCTATCTGCACTCACCCAGTTAACCCTACCTCACCTTCCAGGCCTGAAGTTAAAAACCACGTCTCCTGTGAAGTCTTGCCTGAGCCTTCAACCCCCACTAGAAGCTAGGCCTCCTTTCCATCCTCACAGCCCAGATCACACTCTGATGCTCTCACCCTAGTCAGTACCATGCTCGCCCTGTTCACCTCTGGATTCCCAGGCCCAGCATACAGCAGGTCTCCACTATATTTGCTCAGTGAATGCTGATGCACGAGTGGGAAAGGTCCATGGAGATAAAGGAGTGTCCCCTGCAGCGTCTTCCCACCTCTGTGTTACTGTTGAGCAAGCAGAGCTTAGAGAAGATGAGCCACTTGCTTGAGGGCTCAATTCTGGCCTAGGGATCCGCACCTCCTGTCTGTCAGCCCCCAGCTACACCCACTTTCAATTACGGGAAAGCCCCAAACCTAGTTGGATATTGGCTGATTTTCCTTTGACCTTCTTTCTCTTTTTTCTTTCTTTTCTTTTCTTTCTTCCTTTCCTTCCTTCCTTTTTTTTTTTTTATTTTTCATCCCTGCAGATTAAACCCAGTGTCTTCCCGCTGAGCTATATCCCTTTTTATTTTAAAACTGGGTTTTATCAAGTTGTCCAGTCTGGGGCTTGAACTTGCAGTTAGTCTGCCCAGCCTCCAGAGTTCCTGGATTACAGCCATGCTCCACCATGCCCCGCTCCCTTTGCTGATTTTACAAAGAAGACAAGTTAGGAAGCAAAACAGCTGTAACTGGATGACTTCTTATTTTTATTTTTAAAAATTTGGACAAGAAGGGATCCATACCCAGAAATGGTCCTGTCCCCAGACTATTGTGGACACACACTTGGACAGTGAAGCTTGTGGCCCAGCAAGCAGTTCCCTCTTGGCCTAGATGCCACCTGCCTGGGAAGTTTGGAACGTCGATGAGTCCTGGTAGTTCTGTGTCATGAACTGGGTGCTTGCTTCAGGCTCGTTCAGGTGGAAGCGGTACAAAAATTTGTCCATTTCCCAAGAGCCTGGAAGAACAGACAGACCACAGGGTGGCAGTGAGAGAGAACCATGGTAGAAAGAGCTGGCAGGGACCTTGGCCCCTTCTGGCTGTGGGGGCATAGTTCCTGGGGAGCCTTCTGGCTTCTGGCTCCAGGGCAGCCCCTGAGTGCTAGTAGGGTCCCTGAGAAGTGCACCACAGTTACCTACTTTCCAGGAGTGTAGGAACTAAGTCCAGCCTGAGTCAAGGCCACCTTGTGCCTCCTTCCTTGGGCCCTGTGTTTAACATGCTGCTGGCTGCTCACCCTATGCAGAAAGGAAATGCCCAGCGAGCAGGCAGTTCCCTGGCTCTGCCCTCTGCCTCTTCCTGCAGGTGTCCTGACGCCGTGACAGACTTCAGTGCTGCTCCTCACCACACCTTGTCACATTAGCTGCTGGGGCTGAACCTGGCAAAAGTTCCTGTGCTGCTCTTACGATCTTCTTCCCTGAGTCCCAGTGGCTCCCCGCTCAGGGCTCCTCCTCCTTGGTGGATGTAGATAGGCAGTGTTGTATACCAGAGGAAGAACAAGTGTGGGAGACACATGAAAAAACTGGATCTTGGAGAAGCCCAGTTGGTGCTCAGATTGGAGGGGACCTTCCTCAGGGGACAGAGCAATAGGGGACACACATCTTCTGGGGCAAGGGTGAACAGGCCTCATAGTGGGACAAGGAGGACCCAGTCCTGGGTGCTGGTGAGAGGCTGAGGGAAGTGATCCGTGGCAAATTCCCACCCTTGTTTCCCAAACCTTGAGCTCAGGCACCCTGGGTGCATGGTTGCCAGGAAAACACAAGAAGCTCAGATAAATTTGGCTTTCAGATAAACAGCAAATAATTTGTTGTGTCTATTTCACAGAGCATACTTATATTGAATTATTTTTCATTGTTTATCCAGAACTTAAACTGAACTGGAATTAAAATGCATCCCATAGTTTTGTTCTTTTGGAGCTCTCGTGTTGCTTTGGAAGATCAGTCTGCAACCTTCCCCAGAGTGGGGTTGGCTGTTCTGGGGCGCAGGAGCCACGGCTAGGCAGTGGCTGATGTCCTGGGGGCCGTGAGGCCAGCCAGTCACCTTCGATACCCAGACAGAAGAGGTGAGGGCTGGCCGCCTGCAGTGTTTAGACACAAGAGTCACGGACCACTCATTCTCCCTGCATTGCCTCTGCCCGCATCCGTCATCCTCTTCATGACACCAAACGGAGCGACTCCACCCAAGTGTGTTTCTCCCTCTATTTCTCCTTCCTCCGAGGGTCATGGATATTTCAAAAATATTTTTAAGGATAGGACAATTTTAGTTGTACCCCCATCCAGTAGTAGTAGTGGTAGTAGTAGTAATAGTAATATTAGTAGTAATAATAATAATAATAATAACAATAAAGATGACGACCACGATGATGAGGCCGCAAAAAATAACACCAGCAATTGCACACCTCCGTAGTGCTCCTAGGAGCCATTTGCACCATGACCAATCATTCACTCGATTCTTACAACAGTCCTAGTGTAGAAGACTGTGATGACCCCTTGCTTACAGATGAGAGGCTGGGTCCAGGATGAGGTTCAGGGGAGGAAGCACCCTAAGGCAGCCAGTTTCCTGGAAGACAACTTTCCCGAAGACGGTGGGGTGGGTGAGGGGTGGCTATGGGGCGATTCAAAGGCGCCTGCAACCTGGATCCTGTGAGGGCACGTGCCATTCGCAGTAGGAGTCCTGCTCCCATGAGAGGCCAGGGCTCCGCCTGATAGGAGGTGGTAATTCTAGTGATGTGGAGCTGCTGTCAGTACAGATGCTTTGCTCGTGGTCCAGCTCTCACCTCCTCCTGTGTGGCATCAAGCCAACTTGGGCAACAGGACCTAGGCAAGTCCTTTCTAGCTTCCCTCTGTCCTGCCTGCCTCAGCAATGGGATGCAGGAGCAGCATGGGGAGGGCTGGCCGAGGCGCTGAGAACTGGGCTGTTGGGCGGGTACTGAATTCATTGGGCATTTCCATGGTGCAACTTTGTGTCACTCCAGTGTCTTTTACAGGTACTGTCCTTGGCTGGGGCCTCTGCACACCTGGGGCTGGTATCAGGTATCAGAATTCTGGTATCAGGACACTAGGAAAATGTGTGCATGCACATGTGGGCACACTAGCACATGCTTGTGTGTATATGGTTGTGCATTCATGAGTGTGCATACCAGCACATATGTACATGCACATGCACATGCACAGGTGTATGTGTGTGTGCATGCTAGGGAAAGGGCCCATGGGTGAATTGGTGGGTGACAGGCACGAGGGACAGAGGGGCCTTCCCCACTCAATAGGGCAGGAAGGAACCTGGGGGGTACGGAAGGAATTGAAACCCATCACGAGATCAGGCAAGCTGGTGAAAGAAATCCCCTTGCGCCTTTCTTTCAACAGAGCTGGCCTCTCCTGGCTCAGCGGCTGGCTCCTGCATGAGCTTGGAGTGTCCCTGGGGTCTCTGGCTCCTTCCCTGTCCCACTTCCGACAAGGCTGTAGTTCTCCGGCTCCTCCGGCAGCTGTTCCCCACACCCAGGCCCTGTGCAGGCCGCCTCCCCTGGCTTGCCTGGACTCTTCACCACCCCCCAATTTCCTGCCGCAGAGGGCAAGAGGAACTGACCCCAAGCAAGTTCTAGAAGGGAGAGAGGTGAGTCAGGCCCGCAGGGGTGCGTGGGGAGAGATGGGAGCTGTGGCTTCTGTGGTCACCGCTCAGAGGAAAGCCCCTTCCTGTATGGCATACTGGGTCCCTGACTGCCAGGAGGCTGCTGCCATGCAGGAAGAGGGCAGGGCTGTGTCTGCTGGAGCCACTACACTAGGGGCCAGGCTGGGCTCTTCCTGGGGCAGAATGGGGCGGTGTCTGGTGTCTGTCTTTTGAGCTGCCCAGAGATGAGAATACAGGGGCCTGGGCTCTCTGGGGCAGGGCTGTTACATAAGATATGTGAGTCCAACGCAGGACAGGCCCAGGGGTGACGCCCTGTCCTGCAGAGGCAGCCCTGCAGAGAGGACATCCCTCACTTGCAGGTCACTGCTGATATTAGCCAAGAGCTATGGATGTTAAGATACTGGAGCGGGAGGAGGCCGAGGGAGAGCACATCTTACCTCAGGCCTGGGGAGGGGGGCGGTTTCTGAGCTACTGCTTGTACCTGAGCTGCTAGACACAGGAGACATCCTGTCCAGTGGCTGAGAAGGGAGCACATTCTCTGGGCTTTAGTCTGGGAACTGCCACAGCTGCAAGATTTGCACCAGGCCTTGGGCCAGGTCTTGAGAGTCACTTTCTCCACCCCTAGGTCCTAAATCTGTGGAGCTGGCTTTGCATGCTTTGGGAGTGGCTTGTCATGTGCTCCTGACCAGCTCCACTGAGGCTTTTAAGGGCTAAGCCAGCCTCCAAAAGACTAAAAAATGGTGCTCCACCTACCCTGACCCCAGAGGCTTGCAGAACTTGGGAGGAGGGATGGGCTGCTCTTGGGCTGGGATATGTTCTGTGAGCCCTAGAGCCTGGAGCAAGGCCCTTCTGTGTTCCACACAGAAGCCTCTGCTGGGTGTGGGGGGCAGACTGTTGCTTTATCCAAAATCATTGCTGTCCTCCATGAGTTTCTGTTCTCTTTTTCCTTCCCCGCTTCTTTCTTTCTTTCTTTCTTTCTTTCCTTTCTTTCCCTTCCTTCTTTCCTTTCTTTCCCTTCCTTCCTTCCTTCCTTCCTTCCTTCCTTCCTTCCTTCCTTCCTTCCTTCCTTCCTTCCTTCCTTCCTTCTTTCCTTTTTGTTTTGAGACTCATTATGTAGTCTAAGCGGGCATTGAACTCACTATGTAGCTCAGGGTGGCCCTGACCTCACCATGATCCTCCTGCCTCAGCCTCCCAATTGCAGGTACATGCCACCACCTTGGATTTTCTCCACGAGTTTCTAATGTGAGACAATTAACAGTGGACAAATGACAAACTTATCCTTTGAAGAGAGACCTTGGCCAGTGGGCATCTTTGCCCCTAGGTCCTGGAAGAATCTGCAGGCCCCCTCTTACCTGCCATGAGATAGGACTTCCTGCCAAAGTGTGTTTTCCACTGGATGTGTCTCTTGGTCCTTGGGGGTCCTTGGGGGACCTGGAGTCAGGTGGCTGAGCCCCTAAGGTTGGGACCTTATGCTGGACAGGTGCTGCAGGGCCCTGGGAACTTGGCTCTGAGTCACCCTGTCTCCCCAGGCTGGTGACCTGTGTCTAACTGAGGCAGCTACCTTTTTCTCTGGCCCTGGCCTTGCTCTATCCTCCAGCTTGGTAGGGCACCACCTCTTGTCAGGGCACAGTGTCCCTGATGAAAACAGCAAGGATTCAACCCCAACCTAATAACCGCCCCACGGCGAGCTCAGGTCTGTAATTTGTCTGGCTCACTTGGGCTGGCTGCCGTGATAGAAGCGCTGATGCCTTTCTGCCGAGATTAATGATGTCCCAGCAGTGGTAGGCGGGAGGCCTGAGCCTTTTATTTTTTTGTGTGTGCCATTAAATGATATCCAGAGACTTTCACTCAGGAGCTGAAAAGCCCTCGTTCCATCACATCCAATTGCTCCTAGAGAATATTTGCTGAGTGGCGGATCCAAATGGTTCTGGGGTGGAGGGGACACTTGGACACTGGGGAGGCCAGGCAGTTGCAGGGTGGTGAGGGAGAAGTTGGGGAGACTGGAGAGTGGGAAAGAGGTTCCTAATTGTCCAGTGAATGGGTCATTCAGGTCTCCTTCTTCCACCTGTGACTGAGGGTGGGTACAGGGAGGGGACCAAGAGGAGGAGGGGCTCTAGGCTGCTCAGTTAGCTTCCAGTTATAATATTTGAGGGTTACCCGCTGTTTCTCCAAGTGACCTCTCTAATGGGGCTTTGGACAGCTGGTGTTGGCTTGGCTTGAGAAGGATGCTCCAGGAATTCTGTCTGGGGCCCGTGGAGATTTCAGGCAGCTCCTGGCCAGGGTGCCTTTCTGAGTGTTGCCCAGGTTGGCTCTGCCTTGATGCTTGTCTGAGCCCTCATCCTACCAGGTAGGTGGGGCCTTCAGAGGCAGAAGAGAGCCACCTGTCACAAGCTTGCCTGGTGTTCAGGGGCTGGGCCTTGGGTTCTGGGGCTGGGCCAGGTGAATCAGCATGGAAGATCATGAGGGTGGGTTGGGCTGTTCTGCAGTGAGCTGTGTTTGTGTGTGTGTGTATACACACGTGTGTGTGCATGTGTGTGCTGGCTGGTGGGGAGCTGGTCTCCAGACAGGGCCTGTTTCCTCTCAGCCTCTTCTACTATACTTCACCACACCCTATGCTGCCCCAGGCTGCCTCTAGGCCGGTGGGCTTTCTCCCTGCCTCGGTGCTGTGTCCCCTTCTTGTGTCTGTGGCTGCTTGGGGCTCTGCTGCCCTCATGCCTTGGCCCCTAGTGCTCCTGTCTCATTCACCCAGGGAGCCCCAGAGACCTTCGGATGTCACAATAAGACTGAAACCCCACCATATGGCAGGTCCCTGCCTGCCCCCGCTTTCTGATTCCTGGAACTCAGGTGCTCATGGTGCTAGGGAGCAGTTTATGGCCACTCTTGGTGCCCTTACCTGGCACTTCATTGGTTTCCCAGCAAATGGGCTTCTGTCTTTGTGAAGACCCCTGAGGCTGCCCCTGTGAAATGGCAGTGGAGCCCCCATGAGCACTCTGGCACTGTCCTAAACTTGTGACCTCGGTGTGGCTTCTGGAGAAGGCTGTCATGTGTTGTGTGTCTGTCATCTAGTGGGACAGCAAGAGGAGTATGCGGCCACTTTGTGATACCTTGGGGCAAGGTGGCTGGGGTGTGGCGAGGCGCTGACTGTGGCTCCCTGGAACTGTGGGCTGAGCCACGGCTTTTACTGAGATGGGAATTGTGGGAAGGATGGACAACTGTAATTCAGGGCAGGTAGAAAGCAGCTGCGGTCTGTTTGCCCTTGAAACAAAGGTGGAGGTCTAGGCAGCTTCTGGGGACACAGGCCCTTCCTCAGGTGGCAGAGAAATTCATCTGCTGTTCCCAGGGACCTTTGGCCAGTCATGCCACTCACTGTTGGGGCTCTGGTTTCCTCATCTGCTCTGGGAGATGCTGGCTGCTATCCCTCCTATCTGACGTGAGGGGGCAAGGTGAAGGTGTGGAGAGGGGGCCCTGCCCAGGTTGGGACAGGGAGGGTATGATGTGGAGATTGTCCTTTGTGGGCATGGCGCTCTCAGAGGTGACAACCCCTTCAGGTGCTGAAGGCAGTTGATGTGTGTTTGTGAATGTGGGGGTGTGAGAACGTTCAGATCTGTCTGTGTGTGAATGGCTTGTGAATGTGCGTATGTGGGTGTGTAGAACACACAGACACACTCATTGACTGAGAACTCAAGGTGGCTTGGGCCCAGTGACAGGTACTAAAAGGCAGGAAGAAGTGAGCTCCTCTTCAAGGAATTTATAGTCTCATAGTGGAAGCAGGGTGATATGAGTGAGTGAAACTCGATTTAATAACATGAAAGAGATACAGGCAGACTCCTGAGGACAGTCAACAGAAAGACAGGAGATTGGACGTAGAGACAAGGACCCTAACAGGAGAGGGCAGGGCCAGCCCTGGAGTGTCAATGTGGAGCGCATTAAGGAGCCTCGGGCTAGAGCCAGTGTCCACGACAGTGTGGTCAACACATCCCCGGGCTGAGGGGAGGGAGGAGAGAAAAGGCCCACCTGGATTGTCTGGCAAGGACAAATCATTTACTTGGTGAGAGTCGTGGGCAGGGGGCAGGAGTGAAAAACTGGATGTAAGGGACATCTTGGCAGTGGGGGAGGGGCATGCCCATGGAGAATCCCTTTGGTTGGTTCCTCTAGAATCTGGAAGTCTATCTAGATGCTGCATGCAAGGTGGCCACGTGGGAAACATGCAGTGAGATGATGGAGAATCTCGGGGAGCTCAGAGGCCAGATCTGGGGCCTTGGGAATGTGTGTATGGGTGCACGCGTGCTGCACAGCATGGAGCTGGAAGGAACAGCTCGTGGGCAAGCAGAGGATGGAAATCAGGTGTGTCCCAGGCCTGAGGTGACAGAGCTCGAATATGGGGAGGTAAAGTGTGACCTCTGGGGCAGTGTCAGTGAAATGGGCCAGCCCTTGTTAGAGGTGGCAGTGCAGGCTTTCTGGCCTTCCTACCTGTCCCCTAGTGGGGGCCTGGTTATGCTTCAGCTGCCTAAATAACTCCCCTGATGCTCTCTGTGGGTGCTAGCTCCCCTGGGTTACACCATGGTGACACATCCATCCATGAGAGGAGGAGCACGTGGCTCCTTTTGCACTTGATCCTTGCTATGATTATCTAAGGTCCATTAGAGGGACTGTGGAAGGCAATGGCCAGTCCTGCTGCAAGAGGAAGGACTATAGAAGGTGAGAGTGGCATGAGGTGGCAGGACTTTGGAGCTAGAGGAAGGGTAGCTCGAACCCCCTCTGGGCCCCAGCTGTGGTCCTAGATGCCCAGGAAGAAGCATGCTGGGAGGCCTCCATACACATGTCCAGGGCTCACTGGCAGGGCCAGCCAAGCTTGTCAGCTCTCTGTATCCACGTGGCAGAGCTCAGAGGCAAGAAAGGCCCACAAAGTGGGTAGCAAAGCTGTTTCTGGTCACCCAGTTGTAGAGCAACTAGTCCAACCTTTTGTCTTGGAAAAGCAGAAATCAAGGCCCAGGGAAGCAAGGTGGCTTGTGTGAGGTCACACGAGAGTGTGAATGTCATGAAGTCTTCATTTCCTGGCCACATGTACAATGAAGAGGAATATTGGGGAAGGCTTCACCCCTTGGCTCTAAAGATGGCCACTTTGTCACCTGTTTGTGTGGTCAGGACAGGGCCAGCTACATGAATCTCAAGCTCCTCGAATACTCTTAACCCTGTCATTCACATACAAATACCAGGGAGGCCAGGAGACTAAACAGGACAGAACCATGGCTCTTCAAAGGTTTGTTCTCCACCATGTGTTTTCAGTACATTGAACTCTGTGCCACACTGGGGACCTTTAGGTTACTTCAGTTTCAAAATTGCTTGGCAGAGTGTTCTCATAATGGCCTGCTAAGTGACTAGTTAACCATCTGTATCATGCCAGTTTACGTGGCTCCTACAGCCTACCCTTTCCCCTGCAGCCTGTGTACTGGGGGACAGGAGAGGCTGATTACAACCCCTTGCCATACCTGGGGGCTTGTATTCCTTGGCAAGACCCTGTTGCCTCAGAGCGTCAGTCCAGCCTGGGGCTCCGTGAGTCTGCAAGCACTATCCAGGTGCTGTGGAGCCTGCCAGGCCTCAGCACACCAGCCTTGCCCAAGCACTGCCACTGCTGCTTTTGCAAATGTACTGGGCTCATCTTTGCTACATCCTCACGTTGTGGTGCCTCTGGTGGCTTCTGTCTCTGGCCACTCAGTTTGGGTTTCAAGAACAACCTTCATGTGTTGTGTTCAGTGACTTCTTATGGTCTACCAAGCACGCCAGTCCTGGGGCATTGAGAACCTTCACAACCTCTGCTGCTTTCTCCTTTCCTTCCCATTTTTCACTATGTATATATATATAAAACCCTCCTCTCTCTCTCTCTCTCTCTCTCTCTCTCTCTATATATATATATATATATATATATATATATAGTGCTTCTGCCTCCTACTTCCGTCAAGGATTCAGACTTCCTCCTCTCCAGGGCCCAGCTCCACCATGGAGTCTCCAGGCCACAGGGATCTAAGGAGTCTGCTAATGGTCATCTCATTTACCAGAGAGCAGAGGCTCAGAGGCAGATTTGTCCCATTGGATGGAGAGAGGAAACACAGTTTCCCCACCCTGGAGGAAGAGGCCATGCTCTCCTAGAGAGACCAGGTACCCAGAAGGCCAGGGATCTGTCCCCAAACCCATGTGGTGATCTCTGTGTCCTCACAGTCAGAACCACACAATTAAAAGCTTAATTATAAGCTGTTCTGTATTACTATTTAACTGGTTCTAAAGTAGACTGTACATCCCTTGAGTAGAGGGAATTCCTCTCTGAAGCCCCCAGCCCAGGGCTGGGTATATGGAAGGGGTCATGGTGCAGGATTGGTTCCATGGCTGGGGCTTTTGCTCACCAGGACGATTTTCCTACTTTCATTTCTGGCAGCAAACAAAACAGCAGAAGAGCTCAATGAACTGTGCATAGATAATAAGTCCAGTGTGTGAGTTTTTATGTGGATGGAAGGGTTGCCCGCGTGCATGGGTATATGTGTGCGTGCACAGTATAAGTATGTATGTTCACGCACAGGCACAGGGAATGGTGTTTTGACAGACATCCAAAGGAATGAATAATGGTTTCAGCCCTGCTAGGCTTCCTTCCAGCTTCCTTCCTTGCCACCTGTGACCTAGCAGGGCAGGCAAAGCCTTCGTGTTTTCGGGAAAGTGGGCTCTGGGACAACCTCAAGAGGCATTGCCTTGACCGATGCGGTGCCCTTGGGGCAGGTGGAGGTGCAAGGCCCCTGCAGCCACAGAGCCTGGGCTTGTGGGAGGAGCTTCCTTGTGTCTTTGGTGAGATTGGTACCCAGGATGCAGGTGAAATTTTTGCATTTCTTTTTGACTTTGTTTCTGTTTCTCTCTGTGTCACTTGATTAAACCCAGGGCCTTTTCCTTTAGCTATATCCCCAGCCCTTTAAAAATATTTTATTTGGAGACTGGAGCTTGCTAAGTAGCTAACATGCCCAAATGAGGCTTGAACCTTTGATCCTCCTGCTTCAGCCTCCCACAGTGCCAGAATCACGGGCACGTACCACCACACCTGATTTCCTTTTCTCTCTGTATCCAAATTTAAGTGTGTGTTTGGCACAGCTGTTCAAACAGGTCTGATTGGCAGGATGGGAGGGCAGCCAGGGCAGGGTTCACGGGTAGAAAGGTGGTGCTAACTCCATTCCTAGGGTGGCTGGAGCCATCTGTGATTGGTGGCCCCTACTCCACACAAATCTGAAGGGCTTCAGTGCTGAGCCAGTGCCTCTCTGGGCTCCACTCTCTGGGGCCTTGGGCTTCCCAGTGGGTGGAGGTTGGTCAGGGTCACTGGGTGAGAGGAAATGGTTACTGACATGAGCCCTCCCACTCGCCTTCCCCAGTGCCTGGAGGATGTGCACGGTGTACTCTCAAATTGCCATTTCTACATTCGCCATGTCCTCCCTTTCTTAAAATCAGGGTGGTTACGCAGCATGCAGAGATCACTTTATGTCTCATTTTCCTGAAGAGGAATCCAAGGCCCAGTGAGGGGAGATGTGGCTCACATGAGGGGGTCACCTGTGGGCTGTTGTGGCCAGGTCCACAGCTCTTCCTTCTCTCCAGCCTTGGTGCTAGGAAGACCAACGCCAAGCCGGTAGGAGGCTTTGGGCAAGGGGGTCCTTTGCCCAGTGTAGGGAGGCATTGCTCCTGGGCTAGGGGAGGGGTTGTGACTGGAGAAGTCTTTGCTCCTCCAGGGAGATAGCAGGGCAGACCAAACAATTAGCCACCAATGAAGACAGACCGGCAGGGTGGCATTCCAGCATCCTCTTGCCCAGATCAGCCTCAATTATAAGGCACAATTACTGGCCAAGGTGTTGTGGGGTAGCTGCCTGCACATGCCACGCAAGGTTTTAGGGATGCTTCTTGGTTTAGGGGATTTGTTTCTGAGAGGAGACCACATCTGAAGCCAGTACCTCCTTTAGGGCACTTGTTCCAGTTCATGTGCCAGAAACACTGTCCTCTGACCCCTGCCTCCAAGGCTCATGGGTCGCTGTCAAGTTCTGACTTCCCCAAGAATGCATGAGGCTTTAGTTTCACCTTATAACCTACCCTGGCTGCAGCAGGAAGGATGGGCAGGCCTTACCTCGCGTTTTGTTTTCCTTGGGAAGGAGGTTAATGGTCTTTCCTTCCTGAAGGTAGAGATAGAACTGGTAGCGATGGAAGCCACTGTGAACCGGGGGAGAGGGAGGCTGGTAGGCTACAGGTAGAGGAAAGAGAGACAGGTGAGTTCATACCCCACACGACCTGCGTCTGTCTGCTGCTCCTGGCTGCTCTAAAAGAGAACCGCCCTTGACTTTCAATGGTTCCTGCTAACTTTTCTGGGGTCCCAGAGGAAGGTACCTCCATTGCACACCCTTAGGATTTATATTTGGCAGGCTCTTGCCTTCAGTATCTTCATTTAAGATGTACATTTTGGGGGCTGAGTGGGGGAGGGAAGGAAGTGGTCCTGGAGGAAATGCTCTGTGCTGATTGAAGGTCTGGGGTGCTGGCACAGCTCCCAGGCCTTTCTGGGCCAGTGGGTGTTGGTGTTGTCCTGTTTTTTGCTTTAGTCTATCGTGATGGATTTCCTGCCTCAGGAGAAACCCATCTTCCCTTGTGAATGTGTTTGGTGTGGATTTTTATTTATTTTTTCAGCATTTCCTTGTGAAGTCAATCCCCAAAGAAGCCAGTTTCTTGGCTGGGTCTGGAGGATCTGGAAGTGGTTACGAGGGTGGGTGGGACCAGGTTCAAAGGTTTGATCATAGGCGCTGTAGGAACTGGGCGCTTGGGGCACTGGGAGAAGGAAGGCCCATCTCCCTCCCCTTCACTCTGCCTCTGGGATACTGGCTTTTTAGAGGGGGGGGGGGGGAAAGTAGGGTGGAGATATCTCTCTTCCTTCCCCCAAGTCTGTGTAGGAACCCAGGGTTTTGCTGGCCTGGTCTGGGTCTTCCAAGCTGGGCCTCTTTCCAAGAGCCCCTTCTCATTCCCCTGTCCTTTCTCCATCTCTCTTTCCAAGGAGGAGAGTCAGGCTGGAGCCAAGAATATTCCTGGGGTGGGTGGGGAAGGAGTGTTTGCATGAGCTCCAGGGTGGGAGGGAGCATTGGTACTTTCTGGCTGCCCCCCTCCTTTCCTCTCCTGATCATTAAACAAAAGAGCAACTGGCTGTTTGGCGCTGTTGGAAGTGTTCCTCATTGTGCACTTCCGGCCACGGGGGCCTCCAGCCTGCCAACAGCCAGGGGAATTCCTGACTGATCATCTTTCCCATCGCAGATTGGTGTGTGTGTGTGTGTGTGTGTGTGTGTGTGTGTATGTGTGTGTGTGTGTGTGTGTGTGTGTTCAGAGAGAACAGAGGAGTTGTGCAAGTCTGGTGGCATGGAGTCCTCATCAGGGCAGGTGTGCATTTGGGAAGAACCAGTGAGCAAATGCTGAGGCTACATTGCAGGCTCTGTGTCGCCGTGTGTGGATTTGTGTAAATCTGTGTGTCTTCACACACACTGGAGAAAGTGAGGACTTTCCAGTGTCTCTCCATGTGCCTGAGTATGTGGAGAGCAGGTGTGACAGGAGAGCTTTCGGCCAGGCTGGTTGGCACAGGAGTATCCAAGTGTCCCTGAGGTGGGCATACCCCACACTTCCAAAGGCAGGTAACCAGGATTATGAATTAAAGCCCAGGGGTTCCCTGCCATTGTGGACCAAGCCTCAGAGGAGATGGACACTTTGCCCTTCCCAGGAGGGCTTTCCTGAAGAAGCCCCACTCAACACCTCCTCAGGCCAAGTCTGGGGGGCCAGAGGGGAGCATACACTTTGGAAGCTTCTCTGGCTAGGACCTGACTCTCCAGGCCTTAGTAGTGTGAGCACGAGCTCCCCTTTCTGGCTGAGGAAACTGCTCTCAGAGGTTAAACTAGGATCCCAGGAAGTGGCAGAGCTGGGATTTGAACTCAGGCCTGTGAGGCACCTGAGCCCGTGTGGCTCCATAACCTGTCAGGCCATTTCTCCTGAGTCATTTGTGACTCCCCCAGTGCCAGGATCCCCTCCCAATGGGGCTCAGGGGACACCTTGGGAGTGGGGACCTTGTGAGGAAAAACGCAGGATGAGGCCTCAGAAGAGACCACGGCTCTCAGGTCAGACAGACTCCAGTGTTCTGCCTCTGCCCTTCACTAGCCCTGTGACAAGGGGCAGGTATGCCTGGGCCTCAATTCAGTCTCTTTAAAATGGAGACCTGGATGTTAGTAGCTTTGCAAGATAACTGTGGAGATGACATCCAGGGCACAGAGGTGACCTCTGGGCCTGGCATTTGCAGGTTGGGAGGCACCACCAGGAAGCTGTGTTGCTGTCACTCCCAGGATTGTCACCGAAACCCTGGCTGGGGGAAGGGGTGCTGGAAGGCCTTTACTCACTTGATAATTCCCGGCCTTGAATCATCCCTCTCTTCAGGTTGGTACCCTGAAATGAGAAACACGAGACTGGGCTCACTGCTGAGGCGTTGAAGGCTGATGCCCCCTGCTTCAGTCCCCCTTTGTGGCAGCGGGGCGTTCATAGCCACTCTAAGGGGATGGGCTACAGGGCTTTGCAAGGGGTGTATCAGGGGCTCTGAGGGGAGAATGAGGAGACATGGTATCCGAGGGTGGCCTGGAGTTGGAGGGCAGATGCTCGACCTCTAGGGTTCCCAAAAAGACCTTTTATAAACGGCTGCCCCATGACTATATCCGCACCCCGAGACTGGGCCTGAGATGTAACTGTTCATGGGGACAGGGCCACATGGTCCTCAGGAGCCTGCTGGCAGCCCATCCTCTCAGGAGACAGTTCTGCTGTCTTCAGAGCTTTAGCACATTAGGCCAATGGCCATCTGGACAATCAGAGGGGACAGAAGGGCAGGAGGGGCTGGACCACCTCCCTCAGCCCACAAGATCTAGGCACTTTCTTTGGCCTCAGTTTCCCTCCTCTCTCTCCCTCTGGCTCCTCCACTTGGTGTCTGTGGGATAATGAGGTGCTCCTGGGGGCGGGTGCTAATTACTGTTTGTGCAGGACTGGGAGATGCTCAGATGAAAGGGACTGGAGCCGGGCCTCTGGGTCTGTGCCACAGCTCGGGGCCCCGGGCCATGCTGGGGAGCCCTGCAGGCCCTAGGTGTGGGGTTTTATAGTCTTAATGATGGTGATTAGCGTGGCTCTTAATTGATTCTGCCAACACCTAACTGTGCCCTGGCCCCCTTTCCAACCTTCCTGGGGCAACTTTTGCCCCTTCTCTCCCTGAGGTGCTCGTGGGGGTGCAAGAGGTGCCTTGAGAAGAGGATGGGAGGCCTTGCTGGAGCATGGGGCCATGGAACTGGAGAGAGGTGAGATGCAACCTCTGACTCCCATCCACCCATCTGCCCACTTCCCCTTCAGGCTACAGCTCATCTGCTGTCTTCAGTTCCAGCCTTACTCACTGTAACCCTATCCTCGGGCTTGTCCCTATAGGTCTCCAGCACTTTGGGAGGGGACAAAGGGCAGGACGCTAGGAGGAAAGGCCCCTTCATACTTTGTTCCAGCCTGTGCAGGTGAAGTCTCTTTTCCCAGCACCCTCACTCCATCTCTGTTCCGGTCTCTCTGAAGCCCCACCCACACAGCTCTGCACACCCCAGTCCTGCCTGGCCCTGTAGTCCTGACTTTCTTGGTTTGGCGCCTGATGTTGTCCAGGACTGGGATTAGGCCTAGCGGGCCAGGAGCCGAGAGGTGGAAACCCATGGGGGAGCATCAAAGGCTGGAGCCCAGGCCCCTCCTGATGACCTCCATTCCTCTCAAGAGAAGAAATCAGGACCCAACAGCATCCAAGTAGCCACTTTTCCCTAGATAACTCTTCCGACCACCCTGGCAAGATGGAAAGAGCTGGGCTGGCCCCTGGGAAGCCCAGCCCATCCTCGCCCACTCTGTGTTGCTCAGCCTCCCCCTCTTTCCTTTCCAAATGGCCCAGCCAGTGTTTGTTGAAACCAAACAATAGCAAACTAGGCTGGCTGTTTCAATTCCCCACAGGCTTGGGTCCCGCCCAGGGCCATGAGCAGGCCTCTCTCCTCTGAGTGAGGGCAGGGAGGCCACCATGGGCCTGCTGGGGCAGTGGAGTCAGAGAGCAGCCTGCGTGAAGCTGAAGCTGGGCCCTGTGGAAAGTTTGACTTGTAGCTTGCAGGGTGGGGAGCCTCCTCCTGCACCCTGGGAGTATCTTCTTACCCAGTGGGGCTGCTTGGCAAAGACTGCATGCTGGCCCTTAGGGTGGACTCACCAAGGGGTCCACTGAGACCACCACCACCCTTCTCCCAGTGGACAGATACTCAGTGCTTGCTGGTAGGAGCAGCAGGGAAGGACCCATGGCAGAGGTGCCCACCTGGCAAGAGGATGGTGTGGCAGTGATTTACGGGGTTGGGGTGAGGACTGGTGGCTTGGCACTCTGGCCATAAACTTTCCCTCCAGTTCCCACTGGACTGTCTTAAAATCTCTACCACAGAATCAACATGTGGAAAAGACACTAGATTCTAAAGTGTGAGACAATTGGGATCCAGAGAGGTTGAAAGAATTGTCCCCAGCCATTTGAGCAGTGAGTTTGAGCAGACTAGAATGCTTAGGGAAAAGGGCAGCAGACTCAGACACCCCCAAAGCCTGATGGTTGAAAGGCTCAAGGCTCCTTGACCCACAGTGCTGCACTGGGCTGTTCCCTGGCTCGGATACTGGCTGGAGATGTGATTTAGTGACACAGTGGGTGCTTGTCATGCGTGAGGACTTGAGTTCAATCCCCAGCATCAACTAAAACAGAACGGCTATTAAAAAATACACTGCTATTACCTGGAGAGCTGGGGCTGCAGTGGAAACAGTCCCCTTCATTCTATACCAGCTTTCTGAAAATATCTTTGTGGGTTAGAAAATCACAGCTAGCTATGACAGCCTTAGCGAGCAGCAACTCTCCGGAGATGGAAGAAATTCAGTTCTAGGAGCTGAATAGGGAAGTTGCTAGTTGTTAGCCCTGGCCAGGGAAGTCCCCTGCAGGGGGCAGGGTAAGAGTCCAGGAGCAAGGGTAGACACTGCACCTCCCAGGGTAAGCTGAGACAGGGCTGTGGGAGGAGACCCTGCAGGAGGCCAGGGCCTGCCAAGAGCTTCCTGCACTTTGGGCCTGCTACCCTTCCATCGGCAGCCTTCACCTGCCCCTGCCAGCCTGCAGGTGCGTGTGCTCCTCCTTAAGACGGCCGAGCACAGACCGACCTCCTTTCCCTCACTGTAGCTAAAGACAGGTTGACATTTCCAAAAGGAACTTGTCAAATGCTCAGGTTAAAAAAAGGAAATAATTATGGAAATTACAAACAGCGTAGATGCAGTTGGGTTTCTGAGCCTCAGGAACACAGAAAAGTCAAGGATGGGGTTTTTAGGATGACAGGACAGGGGCCCCGAGGTGTTTGGCTAGTGTGGCTGGGAATGCATTCTGGGCTCCTGTAAGTGTGAGGGATCAGATGCCTTAATTAGCATCCTCTGGGGATAGGGAGTCTGATACCCACTCCAGCCCTCCTAGCAAAGACACAAAGGAGGGGGGAAATTGCTGGGTGGATCCACGCTCAGGACATAAGAACAGTTGCTTTTTTTTCTTAGAAGTTGGTCTCACATGTATGTGTGTGCATATGCATGTGCGCATATATATGCGTGATATATGTGTATATGTGTGTGTGTGTAGGGTGCTGGGTAGACACATAACTGCCTATTACATGAAGAGGTACAAATGACTCAGAGAATCATTGCAGAGAAGGGCACTGGGCACTTCGGTGAATTTCTGCATTTAACACAAGGAACCTACTTCTTCTCTGTCAAGCTAGTTTAGAACCGGCATACGAGATTTTTTTGGGAGGGACATGAGATATTGAGGAAAAGTTGGGGTTCAATCTTGAGTTCTCACAACCCCATTGCAGGACTAGGGAAACAGTCTCAGACACAGGTCAAGAATACAGTACTGGACACTGGTGTGGAGAGTGAGGGTCTGTCTTCATCTACTGTTCGGTTCCATTTCTAACAAGATTTTTGTGGTTGTTCTCTAGGATTCTATCCTATTAACCAAACTTACAGTATCCCAACATAGGCAGGGCAAAGAGCATTATCTCCAAGGAGCCAGACAGACAACCGAGGGCTCATCCTCTGGAGGGCAGGGACCTCAGGGTACTCTCTTTGCAGCCCCTGAGATGCTTGCATGCCTCTGCCACTTCAGTAGGATCCACTTCCAGCTGCCACCCATTGCTTCCTGTCCCACAAGGACAGCTGAGAACCATGCTTTCTGAGACCTTTCTTAGAGTTAAGGGTCCTAGGACCTCCCCCACTCCCACCCTACAGGTACCTGCTCTGTGGCTGGATACGGTTTATGGACCCTGGTGGGTGGAAAAGGGGCTGGCTGTTGCTGTCCCAGCAGGGTCCTGGCTGCTGTCCTTATTCCCCTTCAATTACCTGCAGTCAGCTGCCCGCCCACCTGGGCCTTCGTGGAGGCCCGAGGCCCTCAGACTGGCCAACCCTAGAGTGGAGGGTCAGTGCATGAAATGATTTAATCTCTTCCCTACTTGGATGGGAGGATTCAATCACTTCTGCCTGGCTACAGATCCCTGGCAAAGTGGGAAGTTTCACTTTTTTGATCTCTGGGAGGGTGGGGTACATCCAAAGAACCTCTAACTGAGGCAGAGAGAGAGAGAGAGACAGAGAGACAGAGAGACAGACAGAGAGACAGAGAGACAGACACAGAGAGACAGAGACAGAGACAGAGACAGAGACAGAGACAGAGACAGAGCGAACAGAGTGTTCTTGGGTGGGTGGGTGGGGGGGGGGGAACAGCCAAAGAGGGAAAATAGAAACAGGGTTCCAGACTGTGACACTGGTACTGAACGACAAAGCTCTTTGCTGTTTTATACAGCTGTCTGCAAGCTGCCAAGTGGCAAAAGAGCCAGGAAAAGGCCCAGCACTGGGAAGTGCTACCCAGTAATCTTTGCATTCTGCAATTAACAGAGGGTAAGTGAGTGGAAGGCACTGACAGCTCCCAGGCACTGAGGGCCTTGGCTGCTGGGCCAGTGAATGCCAGCTTGGAGAAGCCCCAGCCTGGAGCACACTGTTGCTTCAAGGGAAAGGCTTCCAGTCAATTAACTCCAAGGCCTGCTCTTGCCCTGGGGCTGGAGGAAGGAAGGAATAGTCTCTGAAGTGGTGGTCTGAAGCCAGCGTTGGGGAGCGGTAAGGAGGAGGCACAAGGGACAAGCCCTCCAGAGCTGAGTGCTTCGAGACCCCAGGGGGTGGGAGACTCCATTATGTTGTACACCCTGATTCCTTGAGAAATGTCAACATCAAAGGCTTCATGGGCCTCTTCCTGGCACTGCCATAGCTTGTGGGGACGGGATGGTGGACAGTATCTTTAGAATACACCAAAGGAGGGCTAATGGCAGACCCTGGTAGGTTGGCAGCAGGACCTCTGAGGCTTTGATTCCTAACTTTGGCTTCCAATCTGGAGTGGGTTACTTCCCCAGGTCACTAGATGCCAAAGTGGGGTGGGGTGGGGTGTGGCCGAGGGGGAATGATTTATTTCTTGGAGTCAGTAGTTAGTTACCCCAGGATAGGAAAAGCTTCCTCTGAACTTCCCTGCCTGGCATGACACTGGGTTAAAAGGCAAGATTTCGTAAGGCCAGTGTTGCCCGAGGCTGGGGAAGTCCTGAGGTTGTCAGGACCCTTGGTTCTAGGCCACGTGTAGGGTCTGTGGTTTCTTAATAAGCCTGCGCTCTTGAGTGTGTGTGTGTGTGTGTGTGTGTGTGTGTGTGTGTGTGTGTGTGTGTGATAGCATGGCATCCATCCTGAGGAATGGTGGCAGGAGAGATGGGTAGATGAATGAATGAATGGGAGACATTCTGTTCTGTTGAGAGAAATATAAATAAAATATATTTCATAGCATCGAGGAGCTCATAGTTTAGTGGAACAGATATATCAACAAGGAAATAACAACAACAGTCAGCACTACAAAGGAGTACAGACAGTACCCAGATATAACTGCTGGGCGTGGTGATCAGAGAGAGCTACTGAGAGACCACTCTTTGTCTTGAAGGATGCATAGGAGTTTTCTGGTTTTCCAATGGACAGACTAGGGGTGGGAAGCACAGTTAAGCAGAAGAAACTGCCTAAGCAGTGTATAAACGTGTGAGATCCAAGAAGATTTCACAGGACTGGCTGCCTTTTGAAGCCAACTAGTGTATGTGTCTGGAAGATACCCAAGAGGAAGCTGGAAGTGTAGGCAGGAGGTCAGGCTTGGGTGGCGGGCAGTACTCCCGATTGAGAACCAAAGTTATCAGCAGGCTGTTCCTCAAGTCCACAGATCCCAGCAAGCCTTTTTGTCTTTCCCAAATGCTCACCAGCTTTGTCCCAGAGGGACACTAGAGTGGGCTGCTTGAACTTCCGGTCAAGAAAAGACATGGGTGGGACTGGGCTTCAGGTTGCTGTCCCCACAGCCTCACTCAGAGCCAGGTTCGTCTGGGACCCCTGACCCAGAACATCTACATTTTACAAACCATAACTTTATTTCAGATCATAAAAGGACTAAATGGTCATTGTAGAAAAAACTAAAACCACAAAAAAACACAAGAAAGGAAAAGAACCTGCCAGATTCTGTGACACACGGAGAGCAGTGTCCCAGGACCTCTTTCCTTCCTTCACATTTGGCTCCCAAAGCTTCTTGTCATATAGGGCCAGCTCCTGGGCCCCCTGGAGCATGCATTGGCTGGGACTCCCATTTGTCTGCCTCAGGGACCTCCTGTGTGGGGACACTGGCCCCAGCTCTCGTCAGTCTTTGAATCGCAGGAAACCATGGGGCCTCCCTCCTCGACTCTGCTTGTCATGGGTCACTCATTCTCTGGATGTGGCTCTGGGGCCATGAGGCGAGTGGGAAGAAGAAAAAGGAAGAAATCATGCAACATAGGAGTAGAAATATTAAAACGGACGGAAAGCAAACACTATGAGCTGCTGGCTAAATGTGACTCCTGTGTAGAAGTCTGTTCTCTATTGGCATGAAAGATGAAGCCTTTGTTGTCAACAACAGGTTGCCCAAAGGCTCTGCTGATCCGGAGCCATGTGAGGAATTGGGTGTTCCTCATAGGTACGTTTCTCCCATAGCTTGAGCTTTGTGTGACTGGCTCCCTAAGTCCTTTTATCTGAACGATTTTGAATAGACATCTTATTAAAATGCTAGGTTTCATCTTCTCAAACACAGGACACAGAGAAGACTTTATATTATTTTAAATGCCATTGCGGATGTCACAGTGGATACCAGTTGTGTGCCTTACTATAGCACCACATTACAAAGCAAACAAAAAGCACCATTTATTCAGCCGTCTACCTGCTCTGGCCTCCTTCAGGGTCAATAATGGGATGTTTCCGCAGTTGTCACTGCTTGAGGAAAGAGGAACCCCCTTATACGGGATGCCTGCACTGTGGCAGGCATTTTGCTGGGTGTTTTGCTTAGTTAGCTCATCCTGATCTTGGGGGCGCCCCAATGCGAGGGCAGAGGCTTCTGTCTTTCCTTTAAGGAGTTTTGCTTTACCAGCTGACTTCTGGAAGCCGCGAAGGCCAGGAAATGGAGACATCCAGTTGATGGGCAACTCCGGCTTTCATCCAGTGTCATTGCCAATTAGCCACATGACTCTGAGCAAGCACTTTTGCAGTGTTTCAGTCCCTGTACCTATAAAGCGGTGATGATAACGCTGTAGCGCCGGTTTCCTCACAGAGCTATGAAGATGCAATTAGGAAATGAGTGTTCTGAAGTCCCACGGGGCCATCCAAGTGTAAGGGTCATTACCAAGCCAAGCTCCTGGCTGAACTCAGCAGTGCAAGGCACGGCAGACAGAGGAGGGGGCCGAGTGGCTGCTGAGATGTCAGAACCCAGCCTGCCAACACTCCTGGGCTATGCCGAGCCTAAGGAGACTAGGGGCAGAGTCAGCCTTGTGAGGCTAATGGCTATGTTGTGGGCTTGGAGGTCACCCAGCTGTGACCACGGTACCCCCCCCCCGCCCCCCTGCCGAGCCTGTGCTCGCCCAGGGTGTGTAGAGTGAGCAGCACATGGTGTTTATTAATATGCCCTGATGAGGGCATTAATCTCTCCTAATGACACCATCTGAGCCCAGTCTGCGTCTTTTCTCTCCCTTTTCTCCTCTCTGTATCTCCCATCTTTTAGAGATGCACACCCTCGCAGTCATGGAGGCATGGGTGGCCCTGAGGAGGCTCAGGATAGAGGGCCAGGGCCTCTGCAGGAAGCAGAAGTCCAGAGGGAGGGTCCCAGGCGCAGGGAGCAAGCCACCACTGCTAGCTCTGCCATTGAGTGGAAACTTGGCCAGAAACCCCTTGATGATGGGAGCAAGGGAGGCAACACAGCCCGAGACTTTTCCAGAACAGCAGGAAAGGGCGTGGCAGGGGTGAGCTAAGAGCTGTTGGGCTGAGAGGGCTGGAAGGAGGATGATGAGGCCTCTAGGTCACACCTGGGCTGAGTCTGAGCCGGCGGGGCTGGGGGGAGAAAGAGCCAGAGACGCGGAGGGAGAACATGGAGTCACACATGCACACGCGCATTTGCAATATACTTATAGAGCACCTGCTCACACCTGCATGCTGACATGGCCACATGGCCACTTATTTACACTCCTACCCGCAGTGCGCTAAGACATCCAGTGTTCTCGCAGATGTGCCCTTGTGCTGTACACACTCACACGCCACCCACTCACTCCACCTGCTCACATTGGAATATGTCCCCCACACAGATACCTATGCTTAGACCCTGCACTCACATGTGCTCACGTATACACATGTTCACACTCACAAATGCTCACCCATGTATGTGCTCACATATAATATGCTAGCACTCAACATGCTCACACATGTGCATGTTAGCCCTGCATCGCATACCCACATATACCCATGCCTATGTACACAGATGCTCATCCACACATTCACACACTCACAACCCCCCTGGTATGTTCACATATACGTGTTCATACACATCTATGCATGCATGTGGTCTTTCCGTAACCTCACCCACACACTCACATGTGTGCTCATAAATGCACACTCACAGATACACTCACACCCACAGTGGCTCATTCCCATGCTGACACACATGTTCACAGACGACAGGCACACTGACGGTGCTTATATACACTGTGTGTCAGGGGCCAGATCTGACAGGAGAACCAAAAGGCTGCATTTAAAAAGGATGGGGTTAGCAGAACTGGTTGCAGTCTCACTGTTTGAATCCCCACTTTATATGCTCCATTTTAGTATCTTGAATAACTATTTTGTAAGAGGACAATTTGTAATCATCAACTAGTGATTTCTTACTGTTTATTTTTTTCTTTGGAAGTATGTATTATTTCTACCCATTTTCTGTTTTGTCTAGTCTTTCTTTAAATAAAATTAAAAAAAAAAAAAAAGACACTACAGTACCCAGTGCTGATCCCGGAGTGTCATGATGTGAAATCCAGCAATACTATTATTCTTTGTTCAGAATGACTTTAGCCTGCTTTGGTTTGTTTAATCCCAACATAAATGAAGATATGGATAACTGCATGTATGTTTAAGTGTATAGGATTGACAACCATATTACTAAGTTTTTGTTGGAGAGTTGAACTGTTTGTGGTCTTGCTGTTTGAATTCCCACTTTATATGTTCTACTTTTGTATCTTGAACAACTACTTGTAAAAGGACAGTATGTAAACATTAACTGGTGATTTCTTACTCTTTATTTTTTCTCTGAATGCATGTATTATTTCTACCCATTTTCTGTTTTGTTTAGTCTTTCTTTAAATAAAATAAAAAAAGAAAAGAAAAGGATGGGGTCAAGACTAAAGCTCAGACTGTGGAGTTAGAAGTGGGTGAGGGACCCTCCAACCCCAACAGGGAAGGGCACCAACAGACAAGTGGCTAGGCCTAGAGTCTGGAACAGGTATCAAGCCGATCTGTTAGGTAGAGAGGGTCTGCAGGCCTGTGGGCCGGGGTTGTCCAGGATAGTGGGAGAGGAGGGGTCGGCTGGGGGCCAGTGGGGCACCCTGACTCAGCCCTTCCCTGGGGCTGCGTGTAAGAGGCCACTGGCTCTACAGAGCAGCAAGACAATTAGGAAAGGGGTGCAGTTAATCTCTGAACAAACAGGGGTTGGGAAATATGGCCTGGCCACAGACTCTAATGCCCTGTCTCTCTTACAGGGAGCAGTGAGGGGAGAGGATGAGGATTGAGACTCTGGAAGGAGGTGACCCCCAGCAGACGTTGCCAGGTCAGCACACCCCTGGCATGCCCCACCCTGGAGATGGCGCTCCTGGGGCTCTTCTGGTTGGGCAGAGCATCTGCTTCTGGCCCTTCCAGCTCCCCTGTGTTTGGCTGAGAGGTACCCCGGGACCCCACCCTGACTCTGGCTGTCTACCACCAACCAGGAAATGGTCAGCTGTCTCTGGGCTGCTCTGTACTCCCCACCTGCCATTGAGCATAGGAAAAGCTCCTCCAGAGCCTGGCTCCACAGGCTGGGCCCTGACAATCAGGGGACCTCAGGCTGGCCACTCTGGGGGAAAGTTGTCCTGGCTTCCCCTCTCTGCTTTGTTCCCCTCCTGCTTCCAGTCCTGGGATTCCATCCTCAGCACTGATGGGAAGAAAAACCACAGTCCCACAATTTTGAGCCTCCCACCATTGGTCCCTGACCTGGGGCTACCTTATGAATAGGGCGGGAGAAAGGAAGGAAAGTGGAGGAAGGAAGGAAGGAAGGAAGGTTGGAAATTAGAGAAAGAAGAAGGGAGAAAGGAAGGAGGAATCAGGGAGATAAACGAAGAAGGAATTATAGAGGGACTCAGTGGAGGGAAGTTTAGGAAAACCTGGCAAGAAGCTGACAAGAGATGGAGGCTCCATGAGATAGGGGCTTATTAGGATGTGTGATACCAAGAAGAAATGGTCCAAGGCCCATTCGAGCCCATCTTGCTCTTTTCCAAGGACTGCCTGGCCTGGTCTGGAGCCCCTGGCTACTCAAAGCACAGTGCTTCGAGTGGTAGCGGCAACCTGCCTGGGATGGGGACCCCCCCTCCCCCGAAAGGCAGAATTACGGGCTTCAGCAGGCCTCATGAATCAGAATCTCCCTTTCCTCAAGGACCTGTGGTGATTCATGGGCCCATTAACACCTGGTCACGACCCATCCCTGAGTCCAGCCTGCTCCAGAGTCTTGCCTGAGTCCTTGGGACTGGAGAGCTTCTGGAGGTCACCCCATTTCCTGTCTCCTCCAGGCTCAGGCCCCTCGGGAATCACCGTTACCCCGGGACCACCGTTACACCTTCAGGTCTTGAGGTAGCTTCAGTTCCCAGTTTCACACTGGGTGGCTGGAAGAAGTGTATCACACTGGGAAGGCTCTGCTGGGCCAGAAGCAGGAGGCGGGAGGCTCTGTGCCTTGTTCTTAGGGGCCAAGCACACTGCATGATGGGCTCCTGAACCCACTGGTGCTCCTTCCCTGGACCATGCCCCTGCCACCCATCCTATGTGAGACGGGAATGCCAGTTCTCCAAGTGGGCAGGGGCCTCAGGGGCCCAGGGAAAGGAAGAGACAGGATGGCTAGGACAAGGAACAATGGTTCTTCCTTGTAGCCCATAGGCCCAAGGAGAGCACATGGCCAGCCCTGGGTTGAGGGTTGAGATCTACTCTAGACTCTGGCCCCATCAAGAGGCCTCAGCCCAGCCATTGCCTGAATTTTCTCCTCTTCCTGTTGCCCAAGCAAGCTGCCAGCCCTAAGCAGCTGCCCTTTTGCTTTCCCTGCCTACAGGTGGCAAATTGAATCTGTTTGTCTGGGTTGAGGCAAGGGTGCATGCAGCCCACCACAGGCCTTGCCAAGGTCCTGGGCCACACAAGCCAGCACCAGCAATGCCCTCATTCTATTGTGTCACTTTTTATAATGCCTAGCAGGCAAATGCCAATCTGAGGAGCTTGGCAACCACAATGAAAACAACAACCGAGAGGTGGACAGTCAACTCCACCCTGACCTCCTAGTTGGTCTAATTGGTTTCTGGATTGTGCTGGGACTGGTGTGAACCCAGGGAGAGGACAGGAAGGGAGGTCCTGGCCCCCTTTGGCAAGACAAGGTGAACCTGGGTGGTCGTTTGCTGAGGGCCATTCAATGCCAGGGGCTGGTGGGGAGGTTTGTATGCCCAGGAAGCCCTGGCTGCCTCTGTGGCAGGCAGAAGAGCAGGTTCAGGGCAGCTTGTGGTGCTTGGCATCCAGCCCTGGTGGGGAACATCCTCAGTCTCCAAGTGTTGAAATGAGCCTTTGCACAACCTTGAGGAGGCTGTTCCAGGTGACGGTGCCAAGGGGCATGAGGAGATGGGAGGAAAGGGGACCAGGTAACAACATAGCAGAACCCTAAAGGGGGGCAAGGGACAGCATCCAACTCTCTAGGCCTCTAGGTACCCTCCTGGCATGGAGCTCACCCAGTTTCTGTCCAATCAAAGGCCATCTATCTCGGCCCAGGTTGGGTCCCCACCCATGCCACCCATGCCACCCATGCTGTGGGCCTCCCAGGCCTCCCAGCTGGGGCATCTGGGAGTTGAGGATACCTAGGCCAGGCCACAAGGAGCTGAGACAAACTTTTCCCTAGAACTTTTTTTGTGAGCAGTTAATTGCCTTGGTGTCGGGCTGCAGAGCACTGCACACAAGCAAGGGGCCTTTAATGGATGCAAATGACAGCTGATTAATCTGCAGCTCTGGAGGCCTGTCCTCCTGGTGGGTTTTGGCTACGCTTCATTCAGCCTCGAGGGTCTACAATAGTTGTGTGGGCTCTGACCTATTACTGTGGGCACTTCTGTCCCCCTTCCCCCTTGCCTGCCCTAGAATATTGACCTTGCCTTTCCTTACCTCTCAGGGGACCAAAAGGGGGCAGATTTCAAGGTGAGAACCAACTAGCATCTGTGGGATTTGTGGGAACAGATTATGCTTGAGAGGTAAGCAGGGGCACTGGCTAGATATGGGCAGGTGGCTTGTTTTATAGCCACTTGCTCTCTGTTGCTTTGAGAAAGCTGCCAGGCCATCAGAGCTGGAAAAATGGTTCACATACAATGCTTTGACTCCTAGCTGGTGCCAATGCAGCCCACATTTACAGTGAGCTCCTGTTAGGTGACTGCACAGATGATTGGAGGGGTCAGGGAAGGCTTCCTGGAGGAAGCCGTATAGGAGCTCTGCACTTAGCAGTGTCTGATGGGGAAAATGGTGAGAGCTGTGTGCTGGGGTGCAGTGCTGCTTTAGCTGGACTATGTCTAGCTGCCAGGCCTGGCACTGAACAGGGCCTCCCCTTCTCCAGGTGGCCCCAGACCCTTACCGCTCCTTCCTGAGCTCCTTGTCCCTCCCTTGGGCTGCCTGGCTCTAAGGGAGGAGCACGAGAGGGCCTGGGAGTTGGAAGCTACTGACCTGGAAGCTGAAGCAGGGTTCCCTTTGGGGGAGAAACCCCCTCAGTTTCTGCTGCAATAAAGAGGAGGCCCGAGCTCTCCCTGCAGCTTTTAATGATGGGCTTGGGCTGTAATGAATATCTGCATGCTCATAAAACAGGCTTAATGACGGCCCTCATTTCATGGACCCCTTTCATCCTCACTGTTCCCAAAGCAGAAGGGACTGTCCTGGGGGCTGAGGCTCAGGGCCCAAAGGAAGCCAAGGACCGTCACTGACTGTACTCGGGAACCCTGGGCTCAGGAGGCCACCGTTCCTGCTTCCATCCCTTATCTGAGTAATTCAGGCTTAGAAAGGCACAGCCTGAGGATGGGGTAGAGATGGAGGAGGGAGGATGCCCAGTTCCTAAGAACCGAACTCACAGAGGAGGCTCGGAAAGCACAGACAGCACCTGAGGCAGTGCCACGCCCCCTTCCCCTGGCCAGATGCTGATAGGAGGCCCTGAATCATCCCAGCCTCCCCCCAACACCTGAGCAGAGCTAGACTGGGAGGGAGGGGCTGGCCTGCTGACTCACCGCAACACCTGTGTTTTGCTTGGGAGGTCTCCCTTGCAGGGACCAGCCAGGCCTGACCCTGTTTGGCTTCCTGGAGTTTGGTGAGCTCACAGCCTGAGGTGCTGTGGCTCCAGGCCAGTGTGACCTGCTAGGCAGGGAGGATTTTTTAAAGAGATACTCGCTCCTGTGTTCCCAGAACTAGTTCTATGAGAGAGATTCGAGTTGTACTTTGAATCTCCCACCCCAATTCCAATTTGGTGTAGAAACCAGTCAAGGGAACATAAAAGACCCTTGGATAAAATATTAATAGAAATCAACAATCCAATCCGTTTCCCGTAGATGAGCACCTGGGCGGCTGCCAGGGGGTCTTGATGGTCATGCACTTTCAGGAGGTGGGACATGGGTGGCACTAGAGCTGCTGTTCCCCTGGTAAAGGAAAGACCAACCGGTCTATTCTCCCTGGAGTTCTGGAACTGCCTGAGGCCTCTGGTCACAGACTGAACAAGGCTACTGTGTCAGGGTCTTCGATGGCCAGGGACTCACTCAGTACTGGTTCCCGGGCTGGCTGGCTCAGCCCAGCCTCCAGGCAGCCCTCTGGTAATAGGGGTCAAGGGAAGGCAGGTGATTCCAAGAATGTGGGTTCTTTGCACCCCAATCCGACCTCCTCATTTCATGGCCTTTCTCTTCTGAGACAATGGCTCTTTTACAAGCCAGGACCCACAACAAAGCCCCATCCCAGGTCACACATAGCTTTCTGTGGGGTACAACCATAGGAAAGGAACTGCTGAATCCTAGGTTTGGGAGAGTGGGTGAATAGGCCCCCAGACCTCCCCAGATGAGGTAGCACTGAATCCTCCTTTGCTAAGAGGCAGAAAGGCAGAGGCTGTCACCCTGAATTTGTGGTGGGGGAGCACAAGCCCTCCACAGATTAAGGGACTGGCTGGGAACTGTAGCCCCTCCCACTGGCAGATGTGTGAGTGGAATCCAGATGTTCCAGGTGCCCTGGCCCTCGGCTACCTCCTGACTCACAGTCAAAAGCTCTCTGGCCTGCACCCCAGAACAAAGGGGGCTGTGTCAAGGGAGCCGCTTCCAAAGGGCAGGGATGTTTTCATCCCCCTTAGCTGGAATCTCTCTGGGGACTTTGGACCTGCAGGTGTGGAGTGGAAGGACCAGTCTAGGGCTTCTAAATCTTTCCTACATCACACCAGGCCCAGTCAGAGCTCTTTCTGCAGTGCCCCCCCTGGCTTAGGGGGCCCAAAATACCATGGTGGGGGTGGGGTGGGTAGAGATGGGGCTTCGATGAGCCAGCTTGTTC